CCCCTTTTTAGTATGGAGTAATTTGTGAGAGATTTAATATGAGACAGAAAGTTCTTCACACTTATATTAACATTTCTCCTTCTAAGCCCTAACTAAACTTCTGCCCCATTTACTACTGTCCTTGAGCCTGCATATTTGAGCTGCTCTTCTTTCCATATGAAGTATATGACCAAATGCATCAGCAGGAACTTTGCCCATTTGGAGGATATTTCCTCTCATCTTTTTCAAGGTCACCCTAAATCAGGTTGCTATATAGCAGCATCCATTTTTGTATTATAGTCCTAGGAGTCTATGCTGACATTCATTCTTCTATTTGGATTCCCAATAACTCTCCCTGGCATACTTTCCCCCACCAAATCCCTCTAATACCAATACCACAGGCAGGGTCTGCTGTGGGATATGGCAGGGCTTATTGTGCTAGTATCAATATCTGCTGCAGAGCTCTGTTACCTAGTAACATAGTTGGAACAATATTCTTAAGTGCTAGGAAGTAACTGCTGAATATATTTGTTGAGGTGTTTCAGCTCTGTTCTCATGGAGCCATGCCAACCTCTTCTTCAGACAATGGCTTCTAAGCCTGAAAATGGACTTAGGTCTGGAAACTTGGCTATTGACTGTGACTTTTTTAATACTACAGCTGTCCTGAGGACTCTAAATTATGCATTCTTGATTTATTTTTACTTCACAAATAGATAACCTTTGTTGATTACTCATTTATCTTGCTTCTAGAAAATTGAGTTCTATTAACTTGTCTTCAGAACTCCCTATGGATTAGGTCACTGGCTGCAACACTAACCTTGCCCCTAATTACAATAACTGCACACCATCCTTCTGACAGTTAAGTACTGCTACCAGCCTCTATTACTTCAGGACCCTACCATCCTTATTTCTGAGAAGGAACACAGTCCTGTGACAATGTCTCCTCCAGTCAACCCCTGCACATAGGAGAGAGCCTCCACTGAGGTCCTCAGTGACTGTTGCCCTCTTTAACAAAGCATTCCTCATCACTTTGGTAAATGGTGTGTGCCTTCTCAGGAGCTTCCTTAGATCACAGCCTGCTGGTGGCTTTCCATCCCCACACAGGTACACTTCAGGATGCCCCCTCCTCTGTGAGCCACTTGATACTTTTCCCCAGTCTGCTGTGGCAGTTGTGGCATTTCCACCTCATTTTACCATGGGCTGTTGATTCCTCCCAACTTCCAAGAGTCACCCTGGCACCTGCAGTCCTTGTCATTGTGGTGTATTCTATACTCTGGGAGATTACTCCCATTCTCAATACACTGTCCTTTACCCACTGTTAGTCTTTTCCATGATTGTACTGCTAGGTCTGAAAATAAGCCATTTTTTTCTTTAGGACACAAAAGAGTGCACATACCACACATCCCTTTATTAAAGACTAACCTGGCTAGAAGTTATACCCCATCCCAGGTTCTGAGATAAAGGTGAGTAGAGCCGGGCAGAGGTGCTTTCCAGAGATCTGCAGTCTTGCAATAATGACATATATATAATTATATATGTGTATATATACACACGTATATATACATATATATAATTTTATATATATATGTGTACATATACATATATACACATATATATAATTATATATATGATATATTTTTTCATCCAATTTTAAAATCAAAATGAAAAGGCTTATATGGGTTTTCCCAAAATGTGCTTTGCTTTTGGTGCATAAAATATGTCCCCTTATTTGTTTTATTAAACACAAGAGTAATGGTTTAATTAGTATTTTTACTAATTTAAATCACAGGTTTTATCATAGAACATACTTTTCATTGGGGGAAATGGGAAGTGAAGGAAGCTGAGAGCACAAATATTTCCATGTTTCGTAGCAAAATGCTAATTTTTAAAATTGACTTTAGCTTTTTAATTTTTCTAAATGAATCTTTTTATAATAGCTATCTAGAATTCTGTTCCAAATCCCATTTACAAAAATAAAAAGGAGAGTAGCAAATACAATTTATTGAGCACTTATGTGCACAGCTGTTCAGGTTGTGTACTATCCAAGGGCACCAGCACTTCTTGGGTGGTGTGGTTTACATATTAGACATCATGGATTTGTGTATTTATAAAGAGAATTTTCCAGCAGATGGCAGTAAAGTGTCTTGCTTTAACAAAATAAGGCTATTACAATAATTTCTGCCAGATAGAAATAAAGTGTCCTGAGGACTGAACATCCTTTTCTATTTACACAAAGATATCATATAACCTAGTGCCAGCACTGCTTACTGCACACCAATCCCTGTGCTCAGTCACCCTCTAATTACAGGATCCTATGAAGTGGGTGTTGTTACTAACTTGCCCACGGCTACTGACTCTGGGTAGAGTCGTTTTGAGATTCTAAAGCAGGTCTCTTTGAGTCTAGTCTGTTCTCTTCCACCCTACACAATGATATTTCAGAAAACTAATGCCTGGGAACATGAAGAGACTTGACCACAGGCAGAGGGCTGCCTGGCCTAACTCATGCAGATAACCAGAAGCCTTACCTCTCAGTCCAACCTGCCACTACTTCATGCTTGCCACAGTGCTGGGTGACACTGGGGACTGACAAGAAAGGAGCAAATTTCACTCATCTAAGAAAAAGATAATGCTTGAGTTATCAAAGTTAAAAATGGGAAAATGATGATATTCTTTTTGGCCTTTTAATGACATTTGTATGATTTGAACACTGTACATGCCACAGAAATAAGGAAAACAGAAAACTCAATATAGCTTACAATAGTTCTCAAAGAGTTGGACTCTATATCCAAAAATACATTTTAGTATAAATTTGAGAGGGCATTATCAAAAATTCTATATTCCTGGAAAAACTGAGGTTTTATTTACTGTGTAAATATACCAATCACTTTGCAATAGATGCATTAATATTCTTATTTCAGCAGTTTTAAAAATCTACTATAGACAACATATCAATCATAAACAAAAGAAAGCCAGTTATAAATATTCTTTTTAAAGAGAGAGAGGGCGGGGGAGAGGGAAAGAGAGAATATTTTTTTAATATTTATTTTTCAGTTTTCGGCGGACATAACATCTTTGTTTGTATGTGGTGCTGAGGATCAAACCTGGGCCGCACGCATGCCAAGCAAGTGCGCTACCACTTGAGCCACATCCCCAGCCCGAGTTATAAATATTTTATATTGATTCCTAAATTAGTCACCAGGAAAATACTTTTCCCTAAACCCTGACATAAACAAAAGAAAAACTGAAAACTCCATCCTCTGCAAAACAAGCAAATGTTGTTAACTCTTGCTTTTTATCTTAAAACCTCATGTATACACTGAATACATTTTGCCAATTTTCTTTTTTAACCTTGAAAGGCTTAAGAGCTATTTGAAATTGTGTTGATAATGACAATTATTTTCCAGATTATGAGATCTGGGGTGATATTTTTGCTTTTTTCTTTAATTATATTATCTAAACTTTTCAGAAGATTACTTATTGATATATACAAAAACAATAAAACCCACCATTGTTCTTTAAAGCAGGATCACTGAATATTGGTCTAATTTTTTGGCTTAGCCTATGAGGCATCTTTAAAACAAAATAATATAAGTATTTTTATTTCCACAAAAGTAAGTGTATGGACAAATCTACTTTTAGAAGTCAAAAGTCTTTTAACCAACTGGTATCTGCAATAGTTACAAAGACTGTCACTTGATCCTTTCAAACCAGTATTTCCTAAACAGTGGTTTTATGGCAAAATCAGTCCCAACATTTGCTAGAACCTATCTTAATCAAAGGGCTGGCTATTTGAAAACACATCAGAAAAATCTTGGAGATGGCCTCACCCAAGAATTTAAGGTCAGGGTTTATGTTAAGCAGGATCTCAAATCAAGTTTAGAAATAGGCAAACCTTTCATTTTTTTATTTAAGGGAAAGGGTTTTCTTTGAGAGAAAAGGGTTAGAAAAACAGGTCAATGTCCTGTAAATATGAGGTTGTCATTTGTTTTTACATGCTAAATTAAATATGCCTGTTTTGTGTTCAGTGTCTTGTGGCTGTTCCACTTCCATGTCTGGGGAAATGTGTTTATATTAGAAAACTCCATGAGGGCAGGAAATGTAGTTTTTCTTTATCGTAAATCATCTGGCTGAAACTCTACTACTTATCCAAGAGTGTGGTGCATGAAGGGATACTGCACAGTTGCCCATCAAAATGTGTAGACTGTCATTGACTATAAGATTTCCTATAAATCACACATCATGTTTATGTAAATGAACAGTTGCAAAATGGTTACATGAACCATTGAAGGTTATTTTCATAAGCATCCTTAAAGTAAGCTGAACAAGTTATTATCAGGCTTACTACTTAACAGACTAGTTTCTAGATTAGTTTCTTAAAGAGATGTTTCAACATCTCTTTCAGGTACCAACTCATTTCATCTATGCCCACAAGAGGTAAACTGGTTGCATCTATAATAATAGGTTCAACCAATTCTATTCCTGAACTGAAGTCATAAAAACAGTTTGTATCAGTGAAAGGTCCTGGTAATAACTGAATTTTAAATAAACTGCAAGGGGCTGGGAACAGTGGGACAGTGGTTAGTTAGTCTACATAGAGAATTGGGATTGGTACAACTCAAACCAGGAATGAAAATATCAGAGGATATCATCAATGAGAGACACTATTTTTGCTCTAATACAAATGAAAAAGATTTTTTATTAAAAAACTCAGAATTTTTAAAAAGTAAAGAAAGCCTCATGTTGTTTAAAGTGTTTTATGTCAAGAAACACTTCAAAGCATAAAACTTCCAAATTGTGTATGATCAAATTATAAACATACCTGAATAGTATTAAATATTTATTACTTTCTAGTTTAGTTCTATTTTATATGTATGAAATGATGCATAATGTTTTTTCATATCAAGTACAAAGCACAATGTCAATAATAGGACAGTCACCATTCCAATCATATCTGAGGATGTTTTAACCTAGTTGAACTAGTTTCCATCATTACCAACACAGTCATCTTAAGAAAAACAGTCTTAAAGAAAAAAGATAAAAACTACTTTTACTTTCTCAAGTTATTAAAGGCTTATAAGACAAATAAGATAGGAGGAAAGAAAGTAAGTTATAAAATTGGTAATAATAATGTTACAATTTCTGACACAAGGAGTGAAAGATATTGCTACAAGAAAACAAAACAGGCCCCAGAAAGTATTGAACAATGAATCCAGGGACTGGAGGTGTAGCTCAATGGCAGAGCACCTATTTAACATGTGCAAGGCCATGGGTTCAATCCCCAGACTAAAACAAAAAAAATGAAATCACTAGCAATCCTAGCCTGTCATAAGGGGGGAAAATGGGACATTCCTTGGGTTTGATGAATTTTAAAAGACACAACAAACTATGCACTATTTGGAAATAATGACGACAAAGATGAGCCAGGAAAATGCCAAAATTAAATGATTAGGTTCTTTTTGTGGGAGGTTGGGGGTGAAGAATCCAAAAAGGAAACCTGAAAAGAAAACCAGATTGGACCCATAGTGTCCTGGGGGCTCTCCAGGTAGTCACTTTCTCTGAAAGTCTCCAGAAAGATCACCATAAACAACATTCCTTTTAGATTTAAAGGCACATTCAAAACAAGACTCCCAAATCCAAAGATTCCCCAAAGTCAGAAAAATACTAGGTAAGGAAAAAAAAAAACAATTCTAATATTCTTTTATTTAAAATTTTATTAAAATACTCTTTAATACCTTTACAGCTTCCTAAGTGAAAATGTATGTAAATTTGAGCCTATAGGTATTCTTTACAAATTAGTCCCTTAAATCCCTAAAAAAAAAAAAAATGTAGCTTTGAAATTTAGGAAAGTGAACAACCTAGAACAAGGGAATACTGACAGCCCATTTTTCATGCCTACTTCCTTGTTTATTCATGAACAAAGCCAGCTCCATGTAGGATAAGGAACATTTTAGGTAAAAAGAATTTTCAAATGTTGTGATAAAGAGAAGGGCCTTCTTAAATTCTTTGGAGAACCTGACAAGTTATCCCTAGATTCTGTGAGTTTAATGCATTTATGCAACCAGCACTGGAGTCCTGTATTCCCATCATCAGTTTCTCTTTTAACTATTTTTCTTCTAGACCCTAATGTGTAATCTGCAAGATCAGTTTTTCCTTGCCAAAGGAAATTGACCAAAAAAACCCATTAAACGTTATCTCTTACCTCTGTGTAGTTGGAGGGGGTGGGTATGTATGAGTGCTGTTTAGCAGAAAAATAATAGATACCTTAAAACCCTTTTATGTCTTTTTAAATCTACCTTTAGAGCAAATACAAATCCTATGCTTACAAATGAATATGAATATTTCCTCATGTATTCAAGCTACTAATTTTTAAAGTATTGCATAAATTTAGAAAATATTATCTAAAGGTATGTAACATTGAATAAATCTAGAATGTACTTAGCTTGAATATTTTTAAAGAACTTTAACAATTATAACAGCAATCACAAATTCTCTGCTGTGAATTTGAGTATTAATATATAACTTTGTTTAGTTGATTAGTGGTTGATAGCTGTCCACTCTCTGCAGAAGTGTCTCTGAATATCCAGGGGAATAGTACCTGGGAAAGAAAATTTGCTATTAGATATTTATTAAAGTCAGCACAGTAGACATATAAAATTTATTTAAGGAGTTTATCTGAAATAATTCTGTGAGTAAAGTCTCACATAAACCCTGAATAATTGTGTTCTAGTAATGCTTTATGCATAAGTTTAGAGAGACTCAAAGAAGAGTATCAGTTCACAAATAGCAAAACACTTAAGGAATATAAATATAATGGCAAAAGGGATGTCTTCCAAGTACAAACCTTTGATCCAGTGACAGTATCTTATTAAAGAGACTTTATTATATCAAGTGAGTAATGTTGCTTTAAGAGTCATAGCTGATAGAATTTTTTCATAAATTATACCATATAGCTAGATTTTTTCATAAATTAGACTATATAACTTATCAATAATCAAATTCCACATTCTGATTGCCTTAGAATTCATTTCTTAGTGTATGTGTGTGTGTGTGTGTGTGTGTGTGTGTGTGGTGAGTGTGTGTGTGTGTGTGTGTGTGTGTGTGTGTGTGTGTAGTACTGGAGAATGAACCCAGGGCCTTGCATGTGCGAAGCAAAGTGTTCTGCCTCTGAGCCACATCCCTAACGCTGCCAACCCTCTAAGTGTCTGCCAATAAAAACAAACTAATTCATATTGAAGAAGTATTTAATAAATGGTTTGCAAATATCTATATCATATATATTTAGAATTAACCATTTTCATTAGTTCTTGGGCATATTTAGTACTATGAATTTATATCTATACACTGAACATTTTATAAAATTTTTAGTATAAAAAAGTATTAAATATATTGATTAATGCATTGTTGGATGTTTGGTATGCCTGGAAAAAATTTGCATATATGTAAAAACATGTCAAATAAAATTTGTCAGGTATTCTAGAATATGATAGATTTAAAAATCTAAAGAAGTATAATTTAAAAATTTCCAAAACACTCAAAATAATTAAGCTTCTGAAATGTTTTCTCTAGATAAAATCTATTGTTAGGGATTTGCTTTGCCCTTTATTATTTATCTTTATGCCTAGATGCTTGATTTAAAAACTCATAATTTGTATATACTTATTTCTTCCACAATTTGTCAAGTTAAGCTGAACAAAACAGGGATGTGTTTTCTCAGTAAGTAGTACACTTACACACAGTCATAATTAAACAGATCATTATATATATATATCATTATATATATATATAATGATATACATACACACACACACATACATAAAAAGCTACCTTAAAAAATGTGTCTCCTCAAAAGGCCTGCTAAGCTTGAAAAAATCATTTCACCAATGGGTTTCTTTGAAGTATTCTTATACTAAGGAATTCACAAATATTTCTCTCCTGGTCTGAGTTAGTCACAAATTTTAAAGCAGGCCTCACTTTCCTAGGCCTTATAAATGTGTCAGACACAAGAAAAGTACATTTTGTATAAATGCAAGAGGTTTTCTGGGCGTGGAGGCATACATTAATAATCCCAGCTATTTGGGAGTGGATGAAGGAGAATCACCAAGTTTGAAGCCAGCTGGACAACTTAGCCAGACCCTGTATCAAAATAAAATAAAAAGAGCTGGGGATGTAGTTCAATAGCAGAACATTTGCTTAGCATGTGTGAGGTCCTGGGTTCAATCATCAGTACTGCAAAAAACTGAAGGCTAGAAAACAAAACTTTTAATAAAATCTTTAAAATTGTACTGCTGAATAAGATAGCAACCACCCGACATGTGGCTGTTGAGTACTAGAAATATGGCTACTGTGTTTGAGGAACTGAATTTTTAAATTTAATTTCAAATTCAAAATTGGCAATTAAATTATTGAAAAACAATTAGGTATATTTAGAATATCTATGAGTCTACATTTTTATTAGTTGTTCAAAACATTACATAGCTCTTGACATATATCGTATTTCATACATTTGATTCAAGTGGGTTATGAACTCCCATTTTTACCCCGTATACAGATTGCAGAATCACATCGGTTATACATCCACGTTTTTACATACTGCCATACTAGTGTCTGTTGTATTCTGCTGCCTTTCCTATCCTCTACTATCCCCACTCCCTGAGTCTACTTTTTTAAGTGCAAATTTTACATAATCTAAATATAGCTCAAGTATTTCCAGTGAAATTTAGCACCTGAATTTATATGTGCTGGAAGCAATAAAATATTTCTAAACTATAAAGTAACTTATTTATAATCTTTTATATTTGATTACAAGTTGAAATGAAAACATTTGGATATAGTGGATTAACAAAAATATATCATTAGAATTTATTTACCTTGTTTTGTTTTGTATTTTTTAATGTAGCTGCCAGACATTTTGAAATTATATATTTAGCTCACATTATATTTCTATTGAACATAATGTTTATAATATAATGAATCAATTAGGATCTGCCAATAATTCTTGAGGTTTTTCCTTGGCTCCAAACTGCCATTGATGTACCTCTTTCCCCAGAGACCTCAGAAACCTTATGATCCCCTAGAGAAGAAAATGTGCTGGTCACTTTCTCCCCTCACCCTTACCAGAGTAGACACTGTGCTACCTTCCCATAAGTGCATACAGACATATGTCTCAGAATATAGGTCCATATAAATATATCAAGTTGTTCATTAGCTGTCAGAAAATCCTGTTTCAACTATAGTCTATCTGATGTTAAGGAATTCAAACAGACATTTTTATCAGGAAAAGTGGAACTCTATCTTAACAACCAAATGCAATCTAAATCAAACCAGAATAATCTTATGTCTTTTATATTAATGCCAAAAGAAACAAAAATTTGCTTGATATATTTTTTCATCAAAACAGTGAAAAATAATAAATGGCAAGAACTGCTACATAGTTTCTCTAATATTATTATAATATTATATTCGATTTAGCTGATAATAATGTTTATCTTCAAGAGAATGAAAAATAGAATAGGGTTACAAAAAGAGGATGATAAGAAATACTTACTGGATTAATTTTTATGTGTAAACTCTTTAGTTAAGCATTATCTCAAACAGGTAATTATCTACATTTTACAGATGCAGAAACTAAGGCTAAAAGGTTTAAATATTATGTCCAAGGTCACACAGTAAGCAGATGAAACCAAGACAGACACCTAGGTTTGTTTTGACACTTAAATCTGAGCTTGCAGCCATAGTTCTCATCAAAGAAGCAAAATGAACACACCCAAAAGAGCAAGAAATTCCTTCCCCTCACTTGTCAACCACTGCTATTCTGACTTACCTCTATAAACACTCTTTAAGAATGGAAGTGAATTAACTTTATCTGAGACCTATATAAAATTGTATCATAGCAACATTATTATATTGTTTTGATACAGACGTACACAGAATGGAAGACTGTGCTCAGGAATCCTTCCCCAAATGAGATGGTTGCCAAAAATCCACTTCCCCTCCCCAGTGTAGGCAGAGATACAGAACACAAAGGAGTTTTAAAAAAACACCTGGCTTAAATGGGCCCAGCCTAGACCTTAGGTCTTCTAAGGCCTACCTTAAAGATCACTAAAATTGGCAATATGAAATACATTGTCATCTGTTATTAGCCTAAATATTTACCTACTGATCATCTGTCTTACATTAGTTCTAAAAATTAGCTGTAAAAGTTCTAAAAGTTGTTATCAAGTGATTCTTGGGAAATATATAATTGCAAAAATAAAAACATTTAAAAATATATTTGTCTATTTTTACAGAAAAACAATGTTTCAAAGATTCTATAAAACATTATAGAAGCTAATGCTTTAAAAAACACTAGAAAATTTTTAAGTCAGCCAACTAAAATTCCTCAAGATAATTACAAATTTTTAAAAGGACACCCCAGATGACAGAATGCAAGTTAACTTTTACAATGATATTTTTACAATGCACCAGATTCTTTTTCTTTTTTTTTTTAATTTTTTGTACCAGGGATTGAACTCAGGGCCACTGAGCCACATCCCCAGCCCTTTTTTATTTTTATTGAGACAGGGTCTCACTAAGTTGCTGAGGCTGGTTTTGAACTTGTGATCCTCCTGTCTCAGCCTCCCAAGCCACTTGAATTACAGGTCACCATGCCCAGGAAGATTAAATTCTAATGGGACAGTTTTTAATTTCCCTCAGTGCTCAATTTAAAAATATGGCTTAAAAGGAGTAAAAAGAAAACTTCTATTCAAGAAAGTAACTTACCATTGATTAATTCTAACACATAATTCCATTTTGGAATCTTTTAATTTGTCTTTTCCCCCCAATTTTTCTTTAATTTTGTTTTTTAGAAAATTGAACTGGGAGTTATATTTTAGACATATAAAAACAGCATTCTTCCTGCAGGGACATATATCCCAACGATAAAAATTAATGTAACAATATTAATAAAAGATTTTTTTGAGGTGGATACTGGAGACTGAACCCAGCAGCATTTTATCACTGAGCTACACTCCCAGCCTTTTTATTTTTTTATTCTGAGGCAGGGTCTCACTACGTTTCTGAGGCTGGCCTTGAACTCAGGTTTATCCTGCCTCTGTCTTCCAAGTCACTGGATACAGGTTGTACCACCACACTCAGCTGAAAAAAGATTTTTATAATCCCAAATTTAGTAGTTTCATACATATTTTATGCTACACAAAAATATTTGTGTATTCTCTATATAGTAATTATACATGTTATGATATATTGTTCTTCTAATTAATATTTTTCAAAGCTGGTTTATTAGAATTCTTTTGGAAAAGGAGTTTGCATAAGCTTCCCAAAAGTATATAAACTTTCAACTCATGAAAGAATTTTCTATCTGAATATACATGAACAGAAAATACTTTTTATCATAACATTTTTGTGTGCTTTAAAAATTATTGTTACCATATTATTAAAAATTGATATTAAATAGAATAAACTAATGAAAGTTATAAATTATATATATGCTATAACATTAAAAACTGCAATTTATATTTTCCAATATTAGTGAATAAAGAATTTAGCATAAGATTACAAAACCATAAATAAATATACCTTTTAGTCTTCATTCTTTGTGAGCATTTTTCAAAATTCATTTGTTTAATTCATTCTATTATTTTCTTGGTAAAATTGCTTGTATTTATTTTGGATTTAATGGTATAGTTTTCCATTAGGCCTACAAGAACTGAGACTTGGGTTTAATGCTTGCAGATCAACTTTATTTTAAAAATGTTTTATCTGGGCTGGGAGTAGAGCACTTGCTTAGAATATGTGAGGCCTTGGGTTCTATCACCAGCACCACAAAATAATAATAATAATCTTGAACATAGCTTCCTATAAGATTACTCTGAGATACCTGCATGTCAGCATATCATACATATTATTTATGTATTTTTTCTCATATACATAGTAACTTTCTTTTTATTACTCAACATCTCTTTTCTACCATAATACTTCCATTAATGTAATGTGAGCTTAAGAATACACAGGGGGGCTAGGGATGTGGCTCAAGTGGTATTGCACTTGCCTAGCATGCACGGGGCGCTGAGTTCAATCCTCAGCACCACATACAAATAAAATGAAAATGTTGTGTTCACCGAAAACTAAAAAATAAATATTAACAAAAAATTTTCTCTCTCTCTCTCTCTCTCTCTCTCAAAACAAAAAGAATACACAGGAAACTATGAAAATCACAATCCATAGGCTTCTTCAAAAACAGGTATTTACAATTTAAAAACAGTTTAATTTAGACTCTCTATTTGGTTATTCCTTAGTAGCATATATTAAATTAGTGTATCAATGCCTTAAATAATATTCCAGGTTGATTTGGAAATGTATAAATCAAAACATAATTCAATTTGAAGAAGGTTAAAAAGAGATAAAGAAAAAAATCAAGGTATTCACTGGCCTCATGTAGTATTTCAAAGTACACATTTTGAAAAGTGGATATAAAAATCTAGATTTTAAACCAAAAACACTACAACATAATTTGAACTTTTTGAAGTCCATATTCTCACCTCACAATTTCCTCTGGGTAACAATTGTTAATACTGTTGATATATTCTTGAAGGAGAGAACCAGGTTCTGCTTTTATCTCTTGAACCTTTTTTAGTCCACCACTGGTTACAAAAAGTCTTCGAGCTTTGCTATCATGTGGTAGCACCTTGAAAGTAAACAAATAAAAATGTCAGCTCTTCTTTTCCAAGTTAGATCATTGCTACCAAAAAAGCAATAAAGTATCCAAAAAATGTAGAAGAAAATGTATGCCCAATATATTTATAGCATTGTAAGCCAAAATCTGCTGCTGATTGGAAGTGAAATGCACTCCTAGAAGTGCATTAACTTTTTATGTTGTGGAGATGGAAGAAAGGCAATGAATATGAGCAAAGATAATGGTGTTCCACTCATAAACATAAAACATAAAGTTTACACTCATTCAGTGTCTCTCCACTACCTATGAAATTGAAGGCAAGCTCCTTAACAAAGCAGGAAAGGTCTTCTGGGGCCCAGCTCCTACACTCCTCTTTAGCTTCCTTACCTACCAATCTTCACCCTAAATTTTGCTTCAGTAGCATCAAAGTGTGCATGCTGTGTCATTTCTTGCCTTTGCCCATGCTGCATCCTCCCCCTAGAATGCCTTTCACACTCCACAAGCCTCCCACATTTTGCCTGATTAACTCTGACTCATAGTTTTAAGATTTTGCTTGAGTGTTATTCCTTTAAGAAGCCTTTAGGAAAATTAAAAATTCTGCCTGACGCAAATGTACACATCTGCAAGAGTATATGATACTTGGCCTTAATTGTGTAACTTCCATGAATCTCACTGATTTTTATTTACTGATTTTGAACTTTTAGCATAGTGTTCATTTTTATAGCAAGTTCAATAAAACTATAATATCTTCTTTTTTTAAAAAGAGAGAGTGAGAGAGAGGAGAGAGAGAGAATTTTTAATATTTTTATTTTTTAGTTTTCGGCGGACACAACATCTTTGTTGGTATGTGGTGCTGAGGATTGAACCCGGGCCGCACGCATGCCAGGCGAGCGTGCTACCGCTTGAGCCACAATCCCAGCCCCTATAATATCTTCTTGCTCATTAGACTAAACAATTAAACTACAAAATGACTTTCAGACACAATGTCAACTATCCATTTTCAAGAGTTATGATTCTATCTATAGATAGATCCACTCAGCACCTTACCCTAAGATAAGGTAGATGACCAAATCGGCTAGTGAATTTCTTACTTAGCACCCAACATACACAAAAATGAAGAAATGAATTGATTTTTCCCCATGCAGTACTTTATAGTCTTTTCTCTACATTAGTTGGTTAGTGGGTTGTCAAAGGGAATATGCCATTTTATCTCCCACATCCCATATAACTAAGAGGAAAAAAAAAGTTTCATTATTTTCTTGAAAGGAAAAACAGAGCATAGGGTCTGATATACAGAAATGTATTGTGAGGTAGCTTCAGAGATAATCTCTGCTTTCCAACCGCTATGGCACTTGAAGGTCAGCCAAGTTCTGGGAATCCTGGGAGAGACTTGAACTAAGGGCTGTTAGTAAAGTCTACCTTTTATATGAATATCTAAAATGTAGAATGTACTTAAAAGTTGGAATACACACTTTTTGTTTATTTTTTGTAGAAATATGCTATACAAACAGTAGTACTGCATTTATGTAGCATTAAAACTATTAAAATGAACTTGCCCTCTTCCCTAATTTAAAAAGTGATTTAATTAGCCATAATCAATCTCATTTAATCTTTACATTGATCATATGAAATAAAAACCACTATTCTTCTTACTTTACAGGTAGTCAAATTAAGGTTTAGAGAGGTCAAGACTCTAGTATAAAGAATTAGTGCTATTAAGCAGCACACATATATACTTCAGCGCCTGAGCCTGTGTGCATAAGCACTGTGGTATACACCTTGCTGACCTCATTTTCTTAAGTCAAATATATGAAGATAATTGAACCTATTCTTGATGGCTTAGGTCGCCATCCTGACCGATGATGACTGTGTCATACTGCTCTTCTCTTCCATCCCTCACTATCAGTAGTCAACTCTACCGGCCGTGCCCTCTTCTAGCAGCTTGACCTTTCTCCCTTACTACCACTTACTATCGCTTAATCTGCAATGATCTTAGAAATGTGACAGCTACATTTGTTAAAATTGTTCATTAAAAAAAGTCAGTAGGTTCCAAATGACTGTCTGAGAGCATCTGTAGTAAAGTGCATGGATTTCGTGAAAAATATTTCAATGGCTCTGAGACATCTTTCTTTTTCTTTGTAAGATCTTTGCCATGTTCCCAGGTGAAGGAAACTAAAAGACATTGGGAAAACTACTAAAAGTTACTTATCAATATATATTATCTGTATTACAAAGTGTTTATGTGTTGACATACCACTTACTTCCTGAGAATACTTAAAATGACAGTATAGAAACTGAGAAAAGGGTGGGAAAGAAGGAAGTGTTTTATTTACATGTGGACGTAACTAGCCTGTATTATCCATGTCAATACAGAGAGTTAAGTAGTAAACCCCAGACCCCATCTTAAAGAAGAAAATAAGTAGTTAACAAAAAAAAAGTCAACAAATCATTTTTATTTTCTTACCCTTCTTACAGGCTAAAAGAGCAATTCTTACCTTACTGAACTGTCCAACCACATGCTTCAGAATATTGGGAGGAGCATCATACAGAAATGGTTCAAGGGCTGGTAGGTAGGTGCATTTTTGTAGGATACTTTTAATGGCTTTTTTGCTCTATTGAAATACAAAGAAAAAATGCATGTGAAATTGAGTAATCAATGAAAGTTTCACAAAAATTCATTCATAAATTCCTGGAATTTGAAAATGAAATTAAGTTCCCAGTCTAACCTACAGTTGCTTCATTTTTAAAAATAACTGTCTGACAAATTCCTATTTTTGATTGGTTTTATCATAGAATACCCTGACAGCTGTATTTCTGTTAAACCTTAAAACATATACTTCTTAAAGTTATCTATCAGGAAATTAAAATTATGAAGCATAAAGTTATAGGCTATAAATTAATATGTTTTTATTATTAGTGTAACATTTATACATATAAAACTATGATAACTAATACATCCTATTTCTCCCAATCAATAAATATGAGAAAACAATGTGGTTTATTGTAGAATGACATTATCAGACATTCTGTATTCTCCAAAAGATTCCATGGTTTATACATATGTAGTTAGAAATATCTGCTGTGTGTATTACTCAATGCACATCTGCAGAAATGTGGCTATAGTTTATGGGAAGAGATTTCCTCATCCTTACATGGAAGCAAAACAGATAGGATCTATTCAGCTGTCAAGAAAAAATCATCTCAACAACAGGAAGTGGATCACCTACAAACGAAAGATCAGGTACCACATGTTGTTCCCCCAACACACCCAGCACTCTTCTATATTTCTTTCTTTTTTTTTTTTTCCACCAGGATTAAACTCAGGGACATTTGCCACTGAGCCACATCCCCAGCCCTATTTTGTATCTTATTTAGAGACAGGGTCTCACTGAGTTGCTTAGCACCTCACCATTGCTGAGTCTGGCTTTAAACTTGTGATCCTCCTGCCCCCAGCCTCCCAAGTTGCTGGGGTTACAGGCATGTGCCACCACACTTGGCTCTTCCATAATTCAAAGTGACACCACATGGTGCTGCTCCCTGCTACGGCATAGCTGAAGGAAAGTCCTGATGTGACTATAGCATATCACTGCAGCCAGCTCTGAAGCCATGGCTGGTTGTGAGTTTGTTTCCTTGTATTACAGCCTGTCCCTTTCATTTTGGAAAGTTTCACAATTGTGTGTATCTAAAGGTGTTTTCCACTGGAATTCCACATCTGCTTGTATATGGTTTTGTGCTTCAGTGCATCCATAAAGATTTGCTCTGTTTAACCATTCTCTCTCTGAAGGCTTAGTCAACCTGGTTTTCTGGGATTGTGATCTTGTTACTGAATGTTTAGCAATACTCTTGAAATGCAGGAACATTTTAATCTTCACATTACTTTATAACTGGTAATGGATTCAGCAAAAACATTCAATCTATTTGTTCTACTAGTAAAGGATCTCATGAATTTAAGATTTCTCAGAAACCCAAATAAAGTAGTCTTGTATAACCTCTCATCTCTTAACACATTTGTCTTCAAACATTATTTCATAAATTAGATTAAATAAAAGAAGGAATATAAGAAATGCAGCCCCTTCCTTACTTCTAGTATAAGTTGGAATTGAACTCTCAATTCCCAATATACCTGGTTATACTGTTTCTTTGTGACCATTTTAAGATCATGGTGACCTTCACAGGCCAACAAGTTTAACTTACCTGCTACTGGTGACAAAGCCTAGTAACTGTAGAGCGGAGATCACATCCATTAAACTACACAGACAGCCTTTCCGCCTTTCTCTAATTCTTTTTTTTTTTTGTGTGTGTGTGTGTGTGTGTGTGGTGCTGGGGTTTGAACTCAGGGCCTTGTGCATGGGAGGCAAGCACTCTACCAACTGAGATATATCCCCAGCTCACCTTTCTCTAATTCTAATAGTTCCAAATTGATGATGTACTGTGGAATTATTAATCAAGAACTCTTGAAAAGAGTCTAAGGACACTAGAAATTCACTGAACATTACTACCCTTCATCTGGAAGAAATAAACTCAACTTACAGCTATATTCTTACAGGTAGGAATGTGTGTCATGATTTATAATCAGCTATTTATTCAACATGAAAGAAATATCAGTTAATTAAGATTTTGTTTACATGTCTATTTCTGAGTTTAAGATCTTTAACTTTACCAAGATACAATTTATATATAATAAATTCACTGGTTTTTAAATACACAATTCAATGAACTTTATAAATCTGCAGAATCATGTGACCATCTCTACAATCTAATTTTAGAACATTTCATCATCCCAAAAAAGAGTCTTAGGCCCATTTATAGTCACTCCTCATTCCTGCCTCCCTTTAGCCCCACCACCTTCAGGCAGCTACTAACTAATCTACTTTCTGTCTATATAAATTTGGCTGTCTGGACAATTCATATTAATTAAATCATGCATTGTGTAAACTTTTGTGCTTGGAATATTTTACCATGTACAATGTTTGTGAGTTTCTATCTATGTTGTAGCATGTATCAGTACTTTGTTTTTTTCATCATCAAATAGGATTCTATCATATGGATTTATGACATTTTGGTCATCCATTCACTAGTTGATGGACATGTGGGCTATATCAACTTTTGGCTATTATGATAATGATGCTACAAAAATTTATATACAAGTCTTTATATATACAAATATTTTCATTTCTCTTGGATAGATATCTAAGACAAAACTTGTTGGGTAATGATGGCATGTTTATGTTTAATATTTTGGGAAACTACTAAACTTTTTTTCAATATAACCACAACATTTTATATTCCTACTAGCAATGTAAGAGGGTTCAAGTTTCTCCACATGGCAGTCAATACTTATTGTTATCTGGGCAAAGGTGTAAATAGATAATTCTGCAAAGAAAACATACAAATGGCCAAAAAGTATATGAAAATATTTTCAGCATCATTAAACATTAAGCAAATACAAATCAAACTGCAATGCAATACACCAAACCACACCCACTTATGAAGGCTATAATCAAAAATAAGGATAATAAGAGCTAGCAGGAATATGGAAAAATTGGAATCCTCTTATATTTGTGGTGGGAATATTAAATGGTATGGTTAAATTGGAAGAGTTTGGCAGTTCCTCAAAATATTGAAATTACCCATGACCCAAGAGGTATATACCCAAGAGAAATGAAAATACATCCACACAAAAATTTGTACAATAATATTCACAGCAGCCAATTCATAATAGTTAAAGAGTAGAAATAATCCAACGCCCATCAATGGATAAATGGATAAACAAAATATGGTACATTAATACAATGTAATATTACTTGGAAATAAAAAGGAAAATACTAATATATGCTATAATATAGAGGAATCTTAAAACTCACATTACATAGTAAAAAACTTAGACACAAAAGGCTACATATGTTATATAATTCCATTTAAATTAAATGTCCAGACAATAAAAATCCACAGATACTGAAAGTAAATTTTAATGGTTGCCTAGGCCTATGCAGAAGGAATGTGGAGTGACTGCTAAGGGCCCAACATTTCTTTGGTGGGGAATAAAAATGTTCTAAGATTAGTTTATGGTGATGGTTTCACAATCTTGTAAGTATATTATAAATCATTATATTTTATACTCTAATTAGGTAAATTATATGGTATGTGAATTGTATCTCAATAAAGCTGCTAAAAAATGTAAAGTGGGCCTGGGGTACAGGGTTCAGTGGTGGAGTAGCTTGCCTTGCTTGCAGGAGCCCTGGATTAAATCCCCAACACCATGCAAAAAATTTAAAAGTGAGGATAGAATAACCACGAACACAAAAACACAATAGCTACATCAAATATATTAGACATAATTTTATAACTAAATAGAATAAACTGATTCAAATGCCACATGCTAAAAATGGAACAGTTCAATGATGCCTCTAAATTAAAACAAATGAAAATGCAAATGCCTAAATGTTTTCACAATAAATACAGACCAGCTTATTAGATCAAACATTTTTTTGTTTTGTGTTGCTTTAATTAAGGTATTTGGAAGTTGCTTTGATTAAGGTATTTGGAATAACATAAGAGCAGGCAAATAATAAGGCTAAGTGACAACATGAGAGAAATTCTATGAGGCTGCTCATTGGTTCTGCCGGACTGGAACCAATTAGAGAATGCTTACAGAAGCTGACATGCCTTTGGGACAAAATGAACTTCAACATGGCCTTGTAATTTGAAAGCTGCCACAGATTAACAAATGAGAAATGCCACTAGACAGTTTCTGGTGTTCTTAGATACACTTTTCCCTAGTGGGAGAGGGTCAAATCAAACAGGCTTGAATGGACTTCATTCTTATGCCACTAAAACAACTACTAGTACAATTCAAGAGAACTTGGGAAAGAAAAGGAATGATTAAGTCCCTACAATAAGAAAATATTCAGATGAACTTCAAGTCTTGGGAAGATTGCTAACAGGATAATGCCTTATAAAGATCCACTTTTTAATTTAGTACCCAGATTTCCTAAAAGTAAATTCTGTGTCACATAAAAGCAGAAGGAATTGTAGTATTAGGTTAACCTATTAAAGCCACCTTTGATAAACTAAAACATGATAAAGGTTATCTTGCTTTAAAAAGTGAAGTTTTCAAATTCATTTTATTCCAGTGATATTTACATAATAATCTTTAAAAATAAGCTATATAAACTTAATAGGTAGAGTGACTATTTACAAGGGTTTCTCAAGCTATAATTACTATTAACTCCACCATTAATCATTCATGTTCTCCTATATTTATTCTTTCATCTTATTTCCAAAACTTAAAACAAAAGTTGTTAAATGCAGGAATCTGAAAGAATAGAGATTATTTTTAAAATATTAATAATTTATCTATTAATAATCTCTAAATTGAACACAGTTACTTTTACTAGGCCTAGTTTATGCCTGCAGAAGAGGTCAAGAGACACTGGGTCACTGGAAATAAGGGAAGGAGAATGAGAAGTGATGAGAACTGAGGAAAGAAAAGAAGTACAAGAAGTTGGGGAGGAGAGGAGAAAAAAGAGAAGAAAAATTAATGATAATGGGTTAAAAAATATGAGGTCAAAAGAGGATGACATACATAGATCGAAATTATATATGTATACAAACTCCTGGAGAAAGGTGTGTGCGTGTGTGCATAGACAAATCAAAACTGGAAATGGAGTTGTGGCTTCTTATCAGAAATTCAAAGAATCAGAGACCTGTTGAACTAGAATAGACCTTAGAGAGCACAATCTTTCTCTCTTTACAAGCACTGCCAATATTGTTTCAATGTTGGGGTCATGTGGAGGAAGCCCTACATCTATTAAATCATTGCTTTGATCTAAAAAGTCTTTTACAAATTAAAAAAAAAAATGTTAATCTTGGAAGTCAACTTCCTTCAGTGTATTTGTGGAGAAATAACATTCAAACATCACCAAATGAACATAAATTCACTTTTGTAAACCTTGTAAGTCAAATAACTGATTCATTATACGTAACTTTGAGTCCCTAACCTATGTAGTTTTAAGTTATTTTCCTGCCTCATTATACCATCTAAAGTTATGTTTTAGTAAATATGTTTTCCTATTTGTTATTTATTTGGGGGTTTGTTTTTGTTTTTGTTTTTGTTTGGTATCAGGGATTGATCTCAGAGGCACTCAAACACTGAGCCACATCCCCAGCCCTATTTTTTATATTTTATTTAGAGATGGGGTCTCACTGAGTTGTTTAGTACCTTGAAGTTGATGAGACTGGCTTTGAACTCGTGATCCTCCTGTCTCAGCCTCCTGAGCTACTGGGATTACAGTTATACAGTTGTGCACCACCACGCCCTGCGTTAATCTACTGTTTTAACTAAAATTTAAATGTTTGCTAAGCTTCATCCCTAGCCCCTTAATTTTGTTTTAAATTTCCTTTTCTATGAAATCCCTCAATCCAAGTCAATTCCACAAGCTGCTTTCAAAAAGTTACCTATTTTAACTGGGCAAGTAGCTCAGTGATAGAGTGCTTACCTTGGATGTATAAGGTTCTGGATTTAACCCCTAGTAACATATACACACACAAGTTTCATGTTTTCCTAAGAGGAAGTACATTGGAAAATATTTTTTCTTTGACAGTGTAAAATTATTAAACAACCCATCCTACTTTATATTCAAGTTTTGCATATCACTTAGTAGCTAGTAATATTTTTTATTAAACTTGCCTATTTAAAAATGATTAAGTGAGCAGTGGTACACCCCTATAATCCCAGTGACTTGGGAGGCAAAGGCAGGAGGATTGCAAGTTCAAGGCCAGTCTCAGCAACTTAGTGAGGCTCTAAACAATTTAGGGAGAACCTGTCTTCAAAATAAAAAAATGAAAAGGGCTGGAAATGTAGCTCAGTGGTAAAAGCACTCCTGGGTTCAATTCCTAGTGCCAAAATAAACATTAGAAAAAAATAAAAATGATTTGGTGAATTTTATGGATTTTTTTAAAGGAACAAATAAAAAGACATGGAATTTAAAAATCAGGCAGACTTGAAGAGGGATAAAATATATAACTTCAGGGATGCTTTCCAATGAGTTGCCTTATACCCTTGAAAGCACCTTAAATTATTTTGGATTCATTTTTTTTAATGTAAAATGGACCAAAGAACTTTCCAGCAAATTCCAACTCAAAAATCCTATTATTCTTTAATTCCTATTTTATAGAAAAAGTGAACAGGAAAGTAGAAGGCAATAACCAACCACTCATTTTATAACTTTAGGCCCAGATTTCTTTAAAAATATCACTGATTTACAGAGACAAGGGTAACCTGTTTCTAAAAAAAGAGGAACCTCAATTCTGATAAATTCATGTATCTTTCTTTTATTTATTTATTTATTTTAATGAGACAGGGTCTCACTAAGTTACCTAGGCTATCCTTGAACTTGCTATCCTTCTGCTTCAGCCTCCCGAGTCGTGTCAGCCACCATGCTCAGCTAAATTTATATTTCTTGACTCATAAAAGCAATATTTTCCATAACTAAAATTAAAATTATGGATCTTTTTATATGATTAAAAAGTCTAACAAATAGTCATAAAACCCTTAAGAATAAAGCGCTTACTTTCACTTGTAGATCCTCAGAACTCTCGGGTGACATGTACAAAGAAAGCAGAACTGGCAAAGTATTTGTGACGGCGACAGCCCGTGCATGTTCGGGAGTGTGTCTCCCAATCTGTCCTAAGGCCCAAGCAGCAGCAGCCTTAATATGATCTTCTGGTTCTTCTGACAGGCAGACTGACAACTGGGGTACACCCTGCAGCGGTGATCAAAAGAGCAAGTGTTATAAATCTAGAGCAGGATTAAAGAGTCTTCTGTGTCTTTCAAACATTAGAAGAAATCATTTCAGCCTTGATCCTTTTTTTCCTAAATGGTTCAATAAATGAGCACATCACAGGGGCTGTCATTTCTTAAGTCAATAAAATCACTAGAACTAAATTACCTTAATTATCTGTAACAATCCAACTTAACTACGAATATCTCTACTAGCTTTTACCCCCCAAATAGAGGGACATTTAACCAAACAACAGATGTCACAGACTCGGCAAAACCAGATTCCACTATGACAAATTAAAAATGTTTAGGATCTTAAAATGTTTTATTTTCTTTTGTTAATTTAGAATCTTTAAAGAAAGTATATTCTTGCCAAGTAAAATACATCTGAGAACAGAATAAATACTACAGACTCAAAATGAAATGTATAAGAAGTCTAACTAAATAACTTTAAATGAAGTATATCCACTAATATATTTCCTGAAATAGAATATAAATAATTTTCCATTAATTTTGGTCAACTTTTAAATTATAGTTTTGCTCATTTTAACATGACTGAATGTCAGAGTAGAAATGATTATTTTTGTCACACAGATAGCATATGCTTACAGTTTACATCTTAGGCTTCAATTTCATCTAAATAATAAAGATACAATTAACTAAAGAGCCACATCACAATCCATATAACCAAGAAAAAATCAAATAACCCCAATCAAATTCTAATTCCAGATTCTGCACAGGGATAATTTTCTAACTAATTTGAGACTATAGTAATCACCTCAAATTTAGTACCCCCCCCCAAAAAAAAACAAAAAACAGTATTCACATGGTCATCACCATAGCGAAGGCCCAAATCATCATATGTACTTTTTCTCTTCCATCTTTTAACTCCGTTATTAAGACCAATTTCCTAAAGAGAACTGCCATGTTTCTTCATTTGCTCCTTCCTACAACTAAAAATGCATGTCTGCCAATACAAAAGGTCAGACCTGTCTACAGAGTGAAGTGACTGCAGAAAGCCTGTCCTTCTGTGATAGGAGACTGAAGATTCAGGAGAAAAGCAGCCGGGCCTCCACCTGACCCCCAAGCTCTGCCTTACTGGCCTCGATTGTTATGAATAACAAGTGAGATAAGGAGCATGGATGGCTTCAAAAAATTATAAAGCGTTATTTAAATGTAGGGCGTTATTAATAGTCCCTGAAGAACTACACGGGAAAAGAAAGCTGCACTACTGGGTGGTGCACCTCTGCTGCCGCCACCTTGATCTTAACTAGCTGAAAAACAAAACCAGGTGGGAGAGGCCAGCGGCAGCCCTAGACCAAAGGGGAGAGCCTCCTGGTCGGCTGGCGAGAGCGGGGAGGCAGCACAGGCAGCTGCTGCGGCCTTCATCCTTCCTCCTAGGCGGGAGCTTTCTGACTTTCCACAAAAGAACGGAGGATCAAAAAAAACCCAGTAACATTCTTACTGTGACTCTTCCGAAAGCACCACTACTACTCTAGTCTCTGTCACAGCCTGTGGTAATAGAAGAACAAAAGAAAAAGAACAGGATGAAAGGGAGTGAAGCAAAGAATCATCATGAAATAGGTAGAAAATAAAGATCCAAGTCTCCTTTTTATTCTGAGGATTAGCAAGGGATAAAAAAAAAAAAATCCACGTTTCTGTTTAACATACAGCAGCACGTTTTCTACGCTGATAAGAAACCCACACCCTAGAGGGTCGCCACACACACTTTAAGCACATAGAGCCTTTGAAGCGTTCTTCAGATCAATATTTATTCATCATCATATTTCGTGAGCACCTACTATGTACCAGGTCTGCACCTATGGTGGGTCCATAGAAAGTTGTAAACCGAGATAAGGCAAAATCCCTAGGAAACAAGGAGCACTGCTGTCTGACCTATGCTGTGATGGCCTAGTTTGAGAAATGAGTTTATGAAAGTTGAGTGAAAATGAATTTAAAAAGATATCCTAGCCATTGCCATATCTCCTTCCAAATGACAGGAAAGGGAGGAAGGGATGTGTAGACCTCAGAGCAGTGAAAGTGACTACTAGTCATATAATTCACATTAGTTTTTAACCAAGTTATGCTTTACATGTTTGTAAATATGCACGATTCTGTAAGATATTATTGTAATATTTAAATAGAGAAAATAGTAATACTCGGAACAGTGGATATGAAACTCTTGATTAAAAGTTGAAATTTCCTATGACCTAAATCTTTCATCAAGGATTGCTTTAGGAAACATAAGCACAGAAAAACACATTGAAACAACTGAAAAATTTTTCAGATAATTCTTTTGCTCTGACCAGTTATGTTTTATATTCTGTGGAAGAGTCTCAATCTGTATAGTTCTGTCTTAGAATATCTTACTGTAATAACAAGGAGAAATGAAGAACGAACCAACCTTGGAAATGATCACTGCCATTGCTAGATTTTCAGAATGAGCTGCCACATAACCGAGCATCATGATGCCAGGCAGCCTTATATTTCCCTTGCAGGACCCAACACAATCAATCACAGCAGCTACTCCTCCCGCATTAACTATCAGCTGTGCAAGCTGGAAGAAAAGAACAAGAGCTAGACAATTGGGGCTGGAAAGCATATGATCATCTTTAAATATTAGTGTAGCCACACTTTATTTAGAACCTAGAACAACTAGTAAAACTGAAATATCATTTAGAGAAACTATGGTATTTAGTAAAGAAATACACAAATATAATAGCCTTATTAATTCAAACACACAAATATACTCACTGTGAGAGTCTTTACTCCTCCGTTTAATTTTTCATGCATTGATGGCACAACTTTTATCCCTATTATAATGGATGTCAAAATTCCTCACCTAGACACTAAGCCTAGGGCTAGTTCATAACTAGCTAACTACTGAAACCCCAATCACAATGTGTGAGTATGAAGCAGATTAATCACTGAATGCTGAAAGACAATGTCAGTCTTGAAATATGCTAACCTAATTATCCCTCCTTTGCTAACAATGATTAGGAGCTGCATGCTCTTCCATTTTTAAAAAATATCAACCAAATAAAGATGTTAGATGAAATAAGAAATGAGACTTTAATGTGAAATTTGATTAGTCAAAATATATACAGAAAAGAAGATACAGCTTCAGAATCAACACAGCTTGCTTTGTCTCTAATTCTTTCACATCTAAGAACTCAGATCAGGAAATGATCATGTGAGAGCAGCTGATAGAGTGGTCACGTTAGATCAGTGGACCTTTGTGGTCTATCCCAACCTAGAGGTATACTATTCTGACTACTCCCAGCTGACATAAGATGATAAGGGTGACAGTAGTCCACAGTCCCCACAATCAAGAAATGGGAAGCTGGAAATGATAAAAAACTGAAATTTCAACTCAAACTCCACTATTATGATCCAGTGGTTCTCAGATGGGGGCAATTCTGTCCCCTGGAGGACATTTTGCAACCTATGGAGACATTTTTGATTGTCATCGCTTCGGGGGAGGTGTGTTGCTGGCATCCAGTGGGCAGAGCCCATTCTACAATGTATAGCAAAGCTTACCACAACAAAGAATCACCTAGTCTAAAGTGTCAATAGTGCTGAGCTGAAAAACCCTGACCTAACTAGATCCCATGACACAACCCTCGGGCCCAAAAATAAACTGTTTCATTTGAAAAATAAAATTACGTATTATTGTATCTTAAAGGTTTTTTTTTTTAAATAAACCAAACTTTTTTTCACCTCTGGTGTATGTTTTGCAATCTCTCTAATTAAAGTAGAAGCATTTTTCTTCACATAGTCATCTTTGTCCTTCAGACAGGTAAGTACAACTGGAAAAATCTCTGCTTCAACAACCATTTCTGCCAGATCCACAGAATGTTTTGCAATCTGGCTGAGAGCTGAAAGGATCTGACGCTGTTAAACAAAAACAAATAACAAAAACATTACATAGAATCCCCTAGTCCACTACAGAGTTCAGATGTAATTTAAATAGCTAAATATTCAAATTCCATTATAAAAAAGAAAAAAATTAAATAATATGACCTAAGGTTTCTGAATTTTGAGACTTTTACATCCTAGTATTATATTCATTTTTTAATTCCCTAATTTCTAAATTTGTTCTCTAATTTAAAATTCTACCTTTTATAGATTATGAAAGAATATGACTTTTTGATGAAGATCATTTCTTAAGTATAAATGGTAAATTTATGACATGTAATAATTTAGTACAAAAATGGTTGCAGAACTAACATTTTTGTTGTGATTTGATATCATTTCAAAGAACTTTCTGTTGCTTATTAACATTAATAATTTTAAAATTTGTATAGAGTATAAATATGAGAATACAGAAGTAAAAATTGGTGAATATTAACTCAAAATATGATTTTGGAAAGCTGCAAAGAAGATTAACATAAATATGACCATTTTCAAAAGAAACTTTAATATTATGATGGTGGGCTAGAAAACCTTTAGGTCCCATTCAACCCTGAGATTTGACTCTTTCTTTTAATGGTTAATGTTAACCTCAATGCTACTTCTAATTTTAAATATTGCGGCGAGTTTTCCCAATCACTTGTTTATTTTCTAATCTTTATATCATTTTTTCACATATTAACAACCATAGAATAATAAGTATATTCATGTCTGTTTTCAATGATAATTTACTAATTATTTTTAGCTGTAGAATATTAAACTGTGCATATTTCCTTTTTTTCTTAGATTGTTAGAAATCTGGTTTGTCTCTTGGCTTTTTTATAAATACCTTTAATTTAGCATCAGGGCTGAGGATCATCTGGGCTAAGTGAGCAATCGCTCCTGCATCCACTACTGTCTGTGCTAACTCTGGAGAATGCTTTGAAATATCACTGAGGGTTGAAGCAGCAATCCTTTTCAAAGCAATTTCTGGCTCCTGGATACAGAGTACTAAAAGAGGAACAGCTCCTGCATCCACCACAGCTTGTGACAGTTCTGTGGGTCCAAGAAAAGTAATTAAGTGAGTATGGGTGACTGACCCTTGTGCAAGCCATTTTTCACCCTGACAGATACAGCAAAGAAAAAAGGGGAGGGTGGACTTCACTCTCTCGACATCTGCATTTCAAATCAGCTTTCCTGGTTTCATAAACCATGTGGACCAATCCTGAGCTGAAAAGAACACAGGTCAATAGATGGACCTCCATTTACATGAACACATTTGAGGTAGATTAGGCTGAAATGGCTTGTTATTCTTTTTTTTTTTTTTTTAAGAGTAAGCAGATGTCAGCTGTTTAAGCTCTGACAATTCTGCACTTCTCAATAGGCAAGCATTTTATGCATGGTTTACAATAACAGAGAAAATTAAAGTACCAAAAATTTACCAACCACACTAATTAGGCAGTATTTTGTGCTATTTACGTGAGTAAACATTAACATGAATCTTGTGCCAATAATGTCGATTTTTAAATTCCTTTCATCTTGTAATACTTTTAAAAGATTTTTTAAACACTTTATACAAAATAAAAAGCTGTGTTTTCATTGTGCATTAAAAACACTTTCAAAAACGAGATTTACAACTGATCCACATACTTTTTAAAATATAAATGTTAAGATGAAATTATTCCTTTATCCAAACATTAACTATGTTACATACCAGAAATCAAGTAAATATCTTTTGAATATACATGCTGATTTACTTGTGTGTCCAAGGATAACAGCTATAAAAATAATACATTTTTAATTATAAAGAATGGGAGACAGGAAGGCCGACCCATATAATATGTATATAAAGAATGTATTTTGAGAAGCATAAAGCACCATACATAGTTACAGATTCTACTCTCATTGCATTCATAGTCTCTTACTGAATCACCTATACTCATTTCTATAAACTCTTCCTTTCAAATTATGCTTTTATTTCTCAGATTTGTAATAAATAAATGTCTTGTCAAGCTAAAATAGCTACTTGGCATATAACTTAAAGTCTTTCATTTGAAGAGAATGTAGTGCTTAATTTTTCAAAAGATTGGTACTATCGTATTTTCAAACAGAAAATAATGTTAGCAAATACAGGTTAGTGTCCAAAACTTGTTTTCCTTAAATTATCATAATGATTTCAATACTGAATAAACAGCTTATTCATTCTTTCATTAAACAGGTATTAATGAAAGGTTATTAGGTGCCAAGCTCATTCAACTCTGGGTGCCAACAATACACTTCTGCAAATTAACACTACATTCATTAGCAAATATGTTTCCATTTTTAAAATCCAGTGTGAAATATGGTATGCAGTGGGAAGTTCATATGTAATTTCAAGAACCAGAGAGAAGAGGAAATGTTTTTTGTTTTGTTTTAACTTGTTTTATTTTATTTTATTTTTTAAAGAAGACAAGAGCAGAAAGACTGTTACAATCTTGTGTAACAGCTATGTAACAGGTTCCTCAGAAGTAATCTCTGGTAAACCACTGCAATTAAGACAGCAGGTTAAACAGATGATCGATGTTTCCCTCCAGTACCTCACATCACCCTCCCACACAAGTGAAGGAAGAAAATATAAAGTATATGTAATATCTAAATACAATACTCATATTTGCTGTTAATTTTTAACATGGGCCTTAAGAATTCAATTCAATCCAAATTATACAGATGTTGTATGGTAATATCAACTTTATATGTACTTATGCTAGAATATAATGGGCTGAATATTTGCATCAAAAAAGTACAAGAATAATTCATCTACTCATATATTTTCATTTTTATACATAGTTTCTAATAGTTCATACAAGAATATGCAATAAACCACAACTATTTAAAAGTGCTATTAATCAAATCTCAAGGTTCTTTTTAAACACATCTATTATCTTTATAATTTCCATGCCTTTGATCTTTTCCCTGAAGTGACTGCTAAATTGCCATCTCCCCCTTTTCTTGAATACTGTAATGCTAATAGTGAAGCAAATTGTTCTCCTAAATTGTTACCCAATTCCATCCTAAGCAATTTTCTGTTCTTTCTTGAGTAGTGATGTTCAATGTGGGGAAGGCTAGGGATGGCCCTAGATGAAAATTTGCCATGAAGGTAATGAAGTTTCCAAGACCCTAGATTGGTTTCAGCAATGTGTGTGTGTTTTGCTGGGATTTGAACCCAGGGCTTTGTGCATGAAAGGCAAGCACTCTACCAGCTGAGCTATATATCCCCAGCCTAGTTTCAGCAATTTTGTATATGCAATTTCCTATTCTGTACATCTCCAAAGTTGGGATCTGCTGTTGAATGGTATACTTTTTCCTTTAAAATAATGTTATTCTGAGATCGTATGTATGTATGTGTGTGTATGTGTGTGTGTTTGTGTGTGTATATATACACACACACACTGATATAGATAAGCATGAAATTGGCCTAAGTCATATCACACTATGTGTTAGGTATACTACAGGTGATTTCATCTCGCCTCTATCACCACCTTTTCCTCTATGGCACATCTTTCTCCTTTTCCCTATTATTGCTTCCTCTGGCATTTCAGTACTAGTCATTATTGGTGTCTATCAAATAGCCTTTGTCAGTCAGGGCATGGGCTGGTGAAGTCATCCTGGCCAAAGGGACCTGAGTGGAAGTCAGCTGGAAGCATCTGTAAAAAGTTTTTTTTCCTTGTAATAAACTTGAGATTCACAGGAGAAAATACTTCCTCTTCTTTGTTGGACATGCTCATGGTCTGCAAATGACATCTGGAACTCCTACATCCATCTTACAACTATAACAGAAGAAATCACCAATATGCTGAGAATGGCTTAGTACAAAAATGAAAAACATCTGGGTCCTCCACAACACCGTTCAGCTGCTAACCAACCTCACAACTGCCCTGAATCTGAACTTTGTGTCATGTGAAATAAAAAATGTCCTTTTTGTTTAAGCCACTTGTAGTTGCTGTTCAGTAACTTACAGCTGAAAACATCCTGATATAATTCTTTCCTCTTTGATATGTATATGTTTTCCTATTTTCCTTCACTCATCAAATGTTAAGTGCTTACTATATGCTGGAAACTTGGTTAGATTTGGGAAAAACAGAACAGAGTAAAACACTGTTCTGTTCTAGAAGACCCTGCTCAGGGCAACTGAACTCACCAATGAGGAGCAGAGCCAGAAGTCAAATCTGTGGAGTGTTCAGGAGAAATGTACACAGGGATATGATTTCAGGAAGTGTTTCCCAACTTATCCCCTGCTCTCATTTTCGTTTTTCCTATACTTTTCTACTTTAAAAGAAAAAAGTAGGGAGCAAAGCAAAAAATTCTGAATATCTAAAAGTTATTTCCCATAGGAGAAATCTTAGGGAGATTATTTTAAACTCCAGTTTGGAAATAATTTTTTGGAAGTTCATTTGATACCATACTTATGAAATCAAAGGTTGATATGTACAGACTTAAGAGGCTCAAAACAGATTGACCAAAAACCATCTGAAAGCCAAGAAGTTTATCTTCAGTATCTGAAAATATCTTAGTCTCATTGTGAATTTTAAATGAATCTTCAAAATTAATTTTAAAAAAAATACATCTTCTAATATGCAATAATGTGACAATCTTATACTGTTAGATGGCAAGCAAGATGAAAAGAAGGTGGTCATAACTTTAAACTTGCAAAGAAAAAAGCTACATAACAAATCATACCAACATACCAATAATATTTATAATGGATCAGTAGTATTATTAGTAACATATTTTTCTTTCCTATTTGTCAAATTTTCAATATGGTTATTTGTTTTTTTGTTGTTGTTGTTTTTTGTTTTTTGTTTTTTTTTTTCCTTGGGTCACCGACCAGCTGCGGTGCTGCGTGGGGTTGTATTTTTTTTTTTTTTTTGGTCTAGCTCTACCTTTATTAATATGAATGAATTAAAAGTATTATATGAAAAATTTATAGTACTAATTTAAATGGAATAATTTGCTTATCTACTTCATTTTTTTCTTTTTTTATTGTTGGTCATTCAAAACATTACATAGTTCTTGATATATCATATTTCACAGTTTGATTCAAGTGGGTTATGAACTTCCATTTTTACCCCATATACAGATTGCAGAATCACATCAGTTACACTTCCATTGATTTACATATTGCCATTCTAGTGTCTGTTGTATTCTGCTGCCTTTCCTATCCTCTACTATCCCC